ATAAAAGAAGCCATAATTATTTTGATTTGATTAAAATTAAGGCTGAAAAACTTTTAGCAAAATTTAATCTCATTCCCTAAAAATCATCAAGGGTACGTAAAACGCCTATAAATTTCCAAATTTTTTTAGTCAAGACCAAATTAAAGAAATTATTGATTTCTTTGTTGACATTATAATCTTCTATCTGTTTTAATACATTGTCCCCCTTTCATCCTGTTTATTTTATATCAGATAAAATGGCCCCATTAGAATCATTATTAAATTTAAAATGGAAACGTTACATCATGAAATGAAAATAGCTAAAGGATTAATAGTAGAAGTAGAAGTTAAAGAAACATATAATTTTGAAAATATCCTAAATATTATGTATAAAAAAAATATCATCATGAATTTAAAGAATTGTAAAATGCTATTCAGCAGCCATCATCATTTGGGTATCAACAGCTTCTTGTGAGGCCTCGTTCTCTACACTAAAGAGAGTTCTTCGCGCAATAGAGAGACAATGGTAGATCAAGGTAAGCAAAATTTAGTATTGATGGCTTATGAAAAAAAAATAACACAAAATTTATTTTTTAATTCATTTATGTTAAAATTTAAAAATAAAAATCGTCGTATTATATTATAGTATTATTTTATATATTCATATATAGTATTATTTTTAATAAAAATAGCAAAAAATTTATATGAATGCTTAATTATTTATTTTATTTTAAAAAAATAGTGGGCCCCTCAAGTAATCAGCTGAACCTCCTAGCTGAAAATTCCTGGCTACGGCCCTGGTAATAAGTGTCATCATTTTTTTTTGTGGGCAGGGAGAGGTAATTTTTTATCGGATTCAATTATAACATTTTTATTTATTTTTCAATTATATGTGTAAATGAACGTAAAATTTAATTTATAGACCTCTCGATTGTTTAATTTGATCCGAAAAACTTAGTTAAATTAATATAGAATTAAATTTTAAAGATATATGATAAAATATAAATATAATAAATAATGTATAATTTTACACATATATCTAGTTCTTTTTATACAAATAACGTATACGTTACTCAAAAATTATTTCGCCATCACATTACATTTCAAAGATAGTAACAAATGCTGTTATTTTTCCTTAAAAAAAAGGCATTACTTGAAATGACAATACTTTACAGCACTGATTTTTAGGAACATTTGCTAGTCTTTTTATTATTATTTAGATTATTGAAAATTAAGAAAACCCGACGAAAAGATGAGCAAAATTAATAAGATATAATAGTTTTGTTAAACCTCAGTCTCACCCAGTGAGGAGTGGCAAGCCCTGTCAGTTAGTAGTGTAGAATAAATTTTTCGCTTTTTAAAATGCATATTGAGACAGACTTACATAGAAATCTAATTGAAGATATTATGATCCACCCCTTAAATAAATCTTTTAAAATACAAAATATAATATATATATTTTTTTTAAATTGTGTTCATTAGTACGATCATGAGTGAGAATTAAAGAAAAGCGAAACATATTTAATATAAGGCAATTTTAAAAAAGTAGCATTTGTTTACCATTGAATTTAACATAATTTTTGAATTTTTTTTATTTTCTGAACGAAAAGAATGAAAGAAGAAAAGAATGAGAGAAGAACAAACTTAAGTATATAAATTGTTTTCAAAGTTTTCGGTATTCTGGTAAGGTTCACAAAATCTATTTAAAAGTTTTCAAAGCGAAATATTCTTTTTTACATTTTTTTAACTGTAAAATAATAATTATATTCCTCTTTTTTTTTACTTCTCATTAAATTATCATTTATTAACTCATATTTTGGCATATGCCAAAATGAGTTATAATTTATATAATAATTTCCTATTTTTACTATTTGAAGCTTAGGCGTACATAACTTTTATCCAAGTTGTGGTTTAAAAATAAAATGGGGGGGGGGGGGGCTTCGCCTTACCCGGCATTTACTCGGCCTTGGGTTCCGCCTATGAATAATCTTGATTAGATATTTTTTATTTTTTGTTGGTAATTTTTATTTTGCTTTTTTATAATTTAATATCTTTTATATCATCGCCGTTAAATTTGACTAAAAAAATATCATTAAATCTAGAATCCCTGCCAATATTTCGTATTTATTAGTGTTTTAAGGACTTTAACCAATATGGTAGTCAGCACAGAGGGAAAAATTATTTAATCCATTAACAGTATATATAGTATTTTAAATTTGATTAAGGTTTACTTTTTGGGGCTATCTAAATGAGGCCTTTAAATACATATTTATATCCAATATACCAGCTTTTATCGAACATCCAGTTTATTGGACAATTTTTATATCGTAAGAAAATAATTGCGCATGAGTTCTAAGCTAAAAAAATAATAATTTTAGTTAAAAAAATTAGAGAAAAAATTGAAGCTAATACTAAATAATTCCAAGCATCGAATCAGTCATTTGTGTTGCCAATCATCATACTCTTGAATATTAAAATAATTTTATATTATCATTACTTTCAGTCTTGTTAATCGATCCTTTTAAAAGGATCGAATTCTGATCACGATTCTTTTCTTATTTTATAAATTTCTGAAAAAAAATTATGCTCTATGCAAAATTAACTAATATATAACTAAATTAAATAGAGTGTAAATTTAGTATAATAAAATAATATAACAATGTTAACATATTTATTTATAATCAAAATTAGCCTTTAAATAATAAAAGAATTTAATTATCATTAAACATCCGCGTCCTTCATTAAGAACATATTTAGCTGTACCAAATAAGCACTCCTCAGGAGCGCTTGATGGCAAAGGTATTATGTATTTTTATTTATATCGGTAGGCAAAATATTAGATTAACAATTGAATAAAAATATTATTAAGGGAAAGCGCATTTTGTGAAAAAATTTTCCCAAAGATATCAGTTTTTTCACAATTATTTGAATAAGTATCTGCATTTAGTTGATCCTACAGGTTTCCCAAATGGGTAATTAACCTGCCAACAGATTTTGGCAGATTGATATGAGGCCCAATAGCTTAAATTATGGGTGAATTATTGCTGCTAATATGCTATTGTTTTCATAGAGTGAAGGAGATATATATTTTAAGAAATTATAATTAACATTATTATAGGAGGAAAAGGTAAAAGGTTCTCATTTCTTTCTATCACTATAATAACTCTATGTACATTTTCTTCTAGATCTATAATAGACATCAGTAAATATAATTTATTTTATATTTAATTCAATAAATAAAACTTGAGGTTGTTATATCAAATTCTCAAATGTTGTCTTGATAAAATTTATGAGAAAAATAATGGGTGCTATAATATGATGGCGATAGATATTTTTTGATTTTATTTATATATTTTCTAAGCAAAAAAATAAACATCACGATCCTAAATTTAAGAGGGTCATAAATCGGGGTAAATTACCAAAATTAGGATCGAATCCAGGATAGTCGATCCTTTGATCCAGATTCTTTAACAACTCTGTAAATATTGTTATATTTAATCTCTTATGATTAGGGATTTAAAAATAATTATTACTATATAACATGAAGTATACTTGAAGTTCTCAGTTGAACTCCCTCCGTTCATAATATTGATGTAGTATAGCATTGATGGTATCGTAGTATACTCATTGAAAGAGGGGTTATGGATAGCGTCATTAGCATTTGTGGCTGAGGGTTGTTTTGATTACATGTGACTTTTTGATTCACTATCGTCATGATAAATAGGAGGAAGGGGGTAAAAAATAGTTCATAAAAGTAAAATCTATTTTTTTGTGATTATTCATAAAAAATTGTATGCCCAAAAGTTTGACACGACTAAAACTTTGAAAATGCAGTGGAAAACTAATTAAATATGACCAAAACGCGCTTTAATCTAAACGGGCCATATGACATTTTAATTAGCTTATTAGGTTGAAGCCTACAAATTATGATATACTGAACAACTTTCGTTTGACACAACTAAAACTTTGAAAATGCAGTGGAGGACTATTAAATACCACCAAAACGCGCTTTAATCTAAACGGGCAATATGACATTTTAATTAGCTTATTAGGTTGAAGCCTACCATAAATTATGATATACTGAACAACTTTCTTATTGTGCAGCACTACACCCATATTGAAAAAAAAATAAATGAGGATTACCAAATACCCATATCATATTTTATTTCACTTATTAAAGTTTAATTTCAAATTTTCAGATTTTAATTAAATCTCGAAAAAGTTTATATAAAATAGCTAAACATTTTTTTTCAAATAAAAAAATAATTTTTTATCTTTTCAAACAATAATTAAATTAATCTTCTTAGTATTACTATACACTAATCACCTTATTAAAACTAGTTTTCAAAATGAAAAACTATTGTTTGATATTATTGAATAAATGATTATATATCAATACAAAATACAACCATTTAGAGGCCATCCTATCAAGTTTTTAGAGAATTTTAGTTCTTAAAACGTAAGAAATGTTTTTGAAATTTTGCCAACATTTCATTTTTTTTGAATAAGCTAATAATAAAAAATTTCCACAACATTAAAAATCAGCAGTTTACATAAATACGTTGGAAAAATTTGCGATTGAAAAATGAGCTAGGAAGACCTTAAAAATAATATATATTTATTGAATGATCTCCTTGATAGGAAATTATGACTTTTTGAAAAGTGTATTAGTGATATTTTTTGAAATATTATTATAACATTTGTTCTAGAAAGGAATATCAAGTATATATCAATCAAAATATTTTAAAAAAGTATTCAACGACAGAATCTTAATTTTTTAAAAAATATGTCAACACGCGAATTATATGTTTTTTTTAAGAAAAAAGAATGCCATTTTTGGCATAATTAAAATTAACTATTTTTTGATATTTTGACAAGGTTTATTTTTCTTATTTATTAAGTTTCATAAGTAGCATTATGGTATTTTTAATTTTTTAGATTTGCACATTTTATCATCTAATTTTCCAGATATAACTTATATTTTAATATTTATTTTTAATTTCTTTTATGTAATAATAAAGGATATCAACTTGTGATAGGTGGAATATCGATATCGAATTTGCCAAAGAGTTTTTAGATGAAATCACAAATGAGATATTTAGTTCCTTCCAACTTGTCCATTCCTCCCATAAATTTCATGCATAACGCTTCTATGAATGATCCTAATAATTATGATAATGAATCAATCGATATAAAAAACTTACACCTATCCGTATCCAATCTTATGCTAATCTTCATAGTTGTATATATGGCAATATTCATTGTGGGTCTGTGCGGAAATATTTCCGTGATATACATAATTTTCAAATTCCCCAAAATGAAAACCGTAACCAACCTTTATATTCTTAATCTAGCCGTCGCCGATATAATGTTTTTGATAGGAATACCTTTTTTGGTTAGCAACATAGCTCTCAATAGTTGGCCATTCGGGTATTTTATGTGCAAGGTGTATTGGATAACAGCTATCGTGAACCAATTTGTTAGCAGTGTATTTTACATGGTATTATCCGGGGATAGATTCGTGGCCGTTTATTTAGCTCTTACGGCTGCAAGAAAATACAGAAAACCATTTATAGCTAAGGTTGTTTGTGCGGGAGTTTGGGCATTCTCGACCTTAGTGATGATTCCCATAATAAAATATTCCAGGGCTGTGGCAACCAACAAAAGTCCGTACACGGGGCAATATCTTTATAGTTGTCAAGTTATCTGGCCCGAACCAGGATCAGTCAAATTACTTACCAAGTTCGACGCGAACAAGGCGTTCACTCTTTATTCCTTTCTGTTTGGATATGGGATTCCGGTATTATTAACTAATGTGTTTTATTTTTTTGTGCTCGTTAAACTTAAATCGATAGGACCAGAGGTTAAGAAAGCACAAAACATTAGTAATCCTATATATGGTACTGTATCAAACATTATACGAGGTATGAGAAATCATGTTTTTACAGGAGTACAACACAAAAATAGTACATATGGATCGGGGCCTGACAATATTAATAATCGGGATTGCTTAAGTAGATTCCGAAATAAAAAGGATAAAATTCCATCATCCAATCTAACAGAGGAGTGTTACATAAAAGAACCCTCATACATAACATCTCTCTTGCCTTCGTCTATGAAGGAAAATTACGAAATATCCACATTTAAGAATACATCTAACGTTTATTCGAAAAAGAGTGATAATTTCTCAAATAAGGACGGCAAAAGGAATTTTAGTAGCGGTAATCCACCAGCTGGAAATTCATATGAAAAACGAAAAAAACGTAATATTAGAAGGGTGACCTCTATGGTATTGACTATCATAACAGTATATGTGTGTTGCTGGACACCTTATTGGGTCATGCAATTACTTATAGGTTTCAATAATTCTATTCCACCTTTCTACGTTTCGATGTTTATTTATTTTTTAGCCTATGCCAATTCCTGTGTTAATCCCATTCTCTATGCCTTTTTGAGCCCTAATTTTAAGACGGGCTTCATCCAAACCTTCAATATTCCCTGTTTTCGCAATCGATTTCTTAGAAAGCATACCGTTCATAAGCTAGATTTGAAAGGTCCACTAATGGAATCAATGTTAGATACTCATTCCAAATACGGAGAGCAAGACATTAATATTCGTAATAATTCATTGATAAAAACAAATGTAATAGACAATAATGAGAAATACGATATTAATAAACTTTGCCCTAACAAAGCCTTTTATACCAAAGATAAAAAAATAAAAAATTCTATTAAAAAGCCTAAAACCCAGTTTCAAATTGATGACGAGGCATCCATAATGGATACTAGTTGTTATTAACACATTTGAAATACATATTTTTTAAATTTACCAAAGAATTAAAATATTGTATATAAAGTGAAACTGCTAAATCAAATTTACTAACAATATTCTCCATCTTGTTGTCTTATCATAAATAATTAAATTTTAATATTATATAATTTGGATGGTATTTGAAATTTTAGTGTTTATATAAAAAACCAAATCATTGTGATTATTGTCTAATATAATATAAATTATTTATTAAACATTTTTTTTGTGTATTATAATATAAAATTTTTTTACTGAATATTATGGAAAACCAAATGACAACAAAAAATTTAAAAATTAAAATTATTATTGTATTATCCATTGACATGACAAATAATTATTTTTTTATTGATCTCATTATTATAAAACAATTTTTTGTTTTTAGAAAATAAGATTGGGAGAATAAAAATAAAACTCTTGAGAAAATTATATCGCGCATTTTTTTGAAAATTTGTAAGGAATTAATTATAAATATCCTTGCGAAAATTTGTCTCTATTTATTTTTTAGCAGAAATTATATTCTGCATATCAAAACTTTTAATACTATAAAATGGTATAATAGGAAGATATTAAAGATTAATAATTCTTGTTAAACCAATTTGGAGCTGACTGATAAATGGTAGTGGGGTTTAAAATGTACTAAACGGATTTTAAAAATTTCTAAATAGATAGAAATGTATTTCAAAAACTCAACCACGCCAATTTGTTTTGATCGGTCCGTTAAATAAATTGGTTTCATTTGTTCCCATTTTCACAGGAAACTTTTTTTGTGAAAATTGGTTCGATCCAGCGTCTATACGAGCAGAGAAAAGAGAGGGGTAGGAACAGTTTACTTCCAATTTTTTAAGATGGGGGGGGGGGGTGAAGGTGGAATAAATTTATTGAGGGAGGGGGGGGGGTTATTTATTTTAGTTATAGATGAAATAGGTCAAACTGTCAGGCTCTAAAAATTAATCCTCTTATTATAGACCTATTATAATACAATGCTAAACATCGACCAAATATTGCATACAGTCATGGATATTATTTTCCAAATAAAACTATTTCTGGAAAATTTCCTGCTATCCTTTTAAATGGGTTAGTGATTCTATCAGTAAACTCATATTCATGCCAAACAATTTACTATAATAGTGCATTCATTGTAAATTAAGGGGGTTTTAATTTAAAAAAACTCTTTTACATTCACAATATTTTGATAGTTGATAATAGAGCATAAATAATTTAAGTTATTTTTTTAAAGATTTATAATTAAAAATGTGTAATTAATAAAGTGGAAAAAATTACCGCTAAAGGCGGTTAAGAAAATTTAATGAGTGAGGGGAGTAGGTATAGGGTTTTGAGGGGGTTTGCATCAAATGAATAACCAGTCATGGAGACTCTGGTCCGATCTCTGCTAATATCTGAACCGGGCGGTAGTGTGGTAGAGTGTGACATACGTTTTGTGTCTCCTGGTATATCATTATCTTTATATATACTTTCATAGTAACACTGAATAAAAATCATTATCTTCGCCACTTATCAATTTAATATCCATGGTCCATGGATCTTAATTCTTACAAAGGATATTTTCTGAAGTTATCTGTATCAGAACAATTTTACATATGATCTCAAAATTATTTTCCTGAATTTGTCAAGAGGCCTATTCATTCTTTGCATCATAGTCGAATGGTTTCCAGAATTTACGTTTTCATTGGAGGGATATAACAGCATATATATAAATTTTTTTCAGTTAATTCTATAACTCATAATCCCTTCTAGATAATTTGGCGAAATTATTTCGGTCCAATGAATATATGGCTCATGTCTCGTCTCAGCGAGACAATCCGCTGCGATAATTTGTAAGTAAGAAGGTATAACGTCGGACGTTATAGCCTTTTATAGTGAAATGAGTGTTAATAATAAGTTTACAATAAAAGGGGGTATGAAGATTGTATTTTAATTTAAAACATATTGAAATGAAATTAGATATGAACAAGAAATTAATTAAGATCAATCGTCATAAGAATGGAAAGAAATTAAGTTGTAAATATATAATTTGTGATGAAAAATCAAATTTTTTTTTGATCTTCTTTGAGAATGCTCAAGTAAGATTTATGATTAAATTTCATCTATAATTCTAAATCATTTTGTAATTTATTTTGTAATTTTGAATCCATTTATTTCGATAATGATAATATTATATATTTTTATAATAACTTCGATAAAATAATTAATACATAAAAAATATAATTATAATGTTTCAAGATATTCCATTGTTCCAAGAATTTGATGATGGTCTTTTTAGAAATTAAAAGAGTCAATATTATAATTACTAATACAAATTAATTATAAGGATTACATAATTAATCAGTTACCCGCGATAACCCAACTCCAAATAGCTTTGCATTGATTGTAAATCTTAAAATCCGTTTAAGAGCTGAAAAATATTCCCAATAATTTTATCTCTTGAGTTAGGGCGGGAATTGATTGCTCAATTTCAAGACTCCAAAAAATATTATGATGGGATTTAGCTGAGGTGAATATGGTGATAGGTATTCAATCCTACCTTTATAAGCATAGATAAGATGGTTTCTATGGATGGATACATTATTCATTATAATAATTGCATCTAATGGTAAGACACTGATAAATTCTGTCTTAAAATCACGAGATAATAATCCATAATAAGCTCCTTTGATTATTTTATAATGGATTACCTCTCCAATTCCAATTGTACAAAGTATGCTTACATTTTCCCCTTAAGGGATGGGATTTTTATTATTGGAAGGACATTGTAGGGCGTCCAGGCGTAGATTGGTACAACATGCAAGTTTATTCCAGTTTCATCTAAGAAATATAATTTTTCTCTTGGGATATTTAAAATATTTACACAATAGATGTGATGAATATTAATTGCCCGGGAGTATTATTTCTCTTGTCATCTCTTTTTTTAGACCAACCTATATTTTTGATATATTTACTAATGGTTGTTTTCGTTTTTGGACTACCAGGGGGTAAATCTTATCTCCTGGATAGTAAGAGTGTTATTTTCCATTAATTAGCTTATGATGTATCTTTCAATTATGGAAGAATCTTTTTTCTTACTTCCTCTTTTTTGAATATTGTATTCTTTTAGAGGATTTCTATTAATTTCTGGGAACGTGTCCCATCTAGTGAACCGATACTGTAGACATTTTGACGTAATTTGCGATGTCTTTTATTTTCATTTGTTGTCTATCAGGCATTGATAACATTTTAGTATCTATATCTATTTTTCTTTATTCCCTTTTTGGTCTTTAAATTCTCGACGAAGATTGGGGGTTTTCATTAAAATTGGAAAATTAGTTTTACTATTGGATAATAAACATTTTATAATAAACATTTTATAATAAACATTTTATAATAAACATTTTTTTTATTATTTAAGAAAAATTTTAAAAAATTAATAAATATTTTACTAACACATTTTTTTTATTTTAAATTAAATTTCCAACAAATTTCTTTTTAAAATCTTATTTTGTTTACCCCTTTTATTGTAAGTTTATTATTAAGACTTGTTTCCTGTATCTGTTTGTTTCATAAAAAATGTGATAACCTACTAAACAATATTTATATACAAAAAAATCACTTTTTGAATGCAAGTATGGCTCATAGGATCTCAGACTGAACCTAAGCAACAAGTTATTTGACCTATGACCAGCAGGCATTTTTTTATAACTAAACCCAATCAGCAGGTATTTTTTTATAACTAAACCCAATTTATTTTCTCTACTAGATAAATTAAGAAGGAGGATGAGGAAGGGTTGATTATATTAAAAAGTATGAATGTTTATTTTAATAAAAGCAATAATTGTTGAGTAAGTTGCTATTGTGTTGACTAAGTTCCATTTATCTCATTATATTGCGCACAAAGATTTTGCATGGATAGAGCCTGCAAAGTAATTTTTCGCAGCCCAAGACTATACATGTCGTATTGGGATATGGAATCTCGGGATCTAAAAAATATTTAAAAAATATTCCGAATCCCCATGAAAAAAAAATAAAATAATATAATTACTTTTTCTTCTCTTTTTTGCGGCTGGCACCATATAATTAAAAGGCCAAAATAAGGGATTTAAATAGAGAATTTAGAAAAAAGTAAATAGTATAAAATTAAGGCATATAATGAATGAAAAAGGATGAGGTGAAGACTTTCTTGTTTTAAAAAATATTAAAAAATATATTTATAAAAAATCCGAATTATTGCAACAATTATTCAATGCAATATGGCATTTCGTTGAACATTTAAGCAGGGACCCGAACCGTTATTTATAAAGGTTCCGTTTGGTTACGGTTCAGTATGTAAAAAATTATAATGGTTACCTTTTGGTTACGTTTCTTGAGAAGAAATTTATAAAGGTTCGGTTCAGCTAATTATAAAGGTTTATAGGTTCATTACGGTTGGAAATTTTTTTTTTATTGAAGCAACACCATCTTCTAATTTATTTTTAATATAAGCATCTATGAATTATATATAAAAAAAATATATAAGATTCAAAATAACTCATTTTTAAATATATTATTTGAACTTATAAGTAATATATTTTCAAGTATAAATGGATTCCTTTTTGTTCGTTGTGACGATAACAAAATTTTGCCCCGAAAAAGCCCTCTCTACAGAAACTTGTGTTGCGGAAACCGCCAGTACTATAAGAGCACGTTTATATAATTCTGGATATTCAAATTATTTCCATTTCTAAAATATAAAAACTGAACCGGTTTAACCGTTTTTTATAAAGGTTCTTTTTACTCCTTCAAAAAATAATTATATCGGTTACGGTTATGGTTCAGATATTTATAACAAAAATAAAAAATTTTTAAAAAAATATTTAAGAGGATTCGGAATCTTTTTTAAAAAAAACAATTAAATTATATTTTTTGCCGCCCAGCGGGCACCAGAATATTTTTATTTTTTATATTTAATATGTATTACTTTTATGCTTTAAATCATTAAATACTCGAAAAAGTGAGGTTCGTGAAGTTGGCTCCACAATTTTTGATTTTCAATGGTCAGTTGGTGTGATTAGTACCCGGTTTTCAGTTCGATTTATACCATCACCGTTTTTGAGATATTCAAAGAAAAAATGGGGGGCCAACTTCACGACAGCCCCCCAACTTTTGAACTTAAAAATAAAAAGTGAATAGGTCGATAGAGAATGATTTGTACCGTTTCAAACTCGATTTGTACTATTACCGTTTTCCAGCTATTCACCATTAAAGATATGGCGCCAAAAATAAAAAACACTCAAAATCTATTTTTATAAAATATTTTTTAACGTACAATGGTAGAGAATTTTTTTCTCTTCCTAATGATGCCTCAAATTAAGCTTTATCTTC